GCATATAATTAGAGATGGGAGGGTGCAGAAGAACGTCACAGTAGCAATCCACGTTATTTCCCGGAATACGCTATTGCCCCCGACCTCCCCTACATATTAAATAACTAGATACAAATTTTAATTCAAGGGAATTTAACGCAATACATTTATATCTTTAATATAGAGATCTGGCGATATTTTCCCGATTATAGGGAATACTAAGAAAATTTGTCGATAATAATTTATTATAGCCACTTTTGTTGTTTGTTATTCCAAATTAAAATTTGGCACCTTCATTATATTTCTGAATTTTCTATAACGTATTTCTCATGAATTTGTTAACTTATAGCTTTTATCAATGTGTACTAGTGAACTTGCAACTTCTTTCATTGTTTAAGGAGCGGAAGCGGACGTTTGGTTTTCAATATAATTTAACTCGTATTTTTTAAAACGTTTATTATAACTTACAACGTAAAACAAAAATTAAAAACATATGTCCAAATTTTAAAGAACAATTCTTTGGTGTTGATAAACCAGTTTTTTAATTACAAAATATTTATGACATATTGCACTGCAAATTCTACTAAAAATACTAATATTTCACATGCCAACCATATTTTCAACAAACACATAACTTAAAAACTGGTTTTAGCAATGTAACTTTTTTGTGCATTTTATCATCACTTGTAACTAAAAAGGTTATTCTTTTTAAACAAAGCAAGAATTTGAAATATAAATTAAAATTTAGGAAAGCACCAATCAAAAAAATAAATTGGTAATTTTTCCCCTTAAAAAAAAAACATTACAATTTAAAATAATTTTGAGAAAATAAACTTCGAATTCGATAAAAGTGCAAAGTTCATAATTTTAAAGGAGCTTTAATTTCATTTAAATTTATTATGGGAGTAATTATTAATTTGAACCTCTCATTACCTATTTATAACTTTTTTTCGAGTTTTATCTGTAGTATATCCTGGCAAATGTAAACATGATTTAGGGCCAACCTGTAAATATCTTTATTTAGCACAATCATATAGTTTAAACTTCTCTAAAATAGATTTGTTTATAAATTTCTTGCTACCATTTCTGTCAACAGAAATTACATGGAGTTGTAATTTCACTAGAAATATAAAACATTTTATAAATTTTAAACCAGTAGAAAATTTAAGAGCAGTTTTTTATTTCTTTAGTGCACACACAAAAGTTTACAGGTTGTTTATTTTTTTTTAACATTGCTCTTAAACCGTTTAACAGTTTTTCATGAAATTTTATATGGTGTGTTAAAATATAATGACTAAGGAGATATTTTTTTCTCAATTTTTGTTAGGTTTTTGGATGGGTCACTGCTCTTTTGACCACCCAACTTTTTTGTACTATAAAATTTAACCAAAAATGGAATGCCACTGGAATTCAACATCCATTTTAAATTTTTTTTGTCTGTTAGTATTTGTTTGCCAAATGTTTGGTTTAGATGATACAGCCTGCTCTTATTGAAATGACGACTTAAAAATATTCAATGTAAATTCCATGTTTGCAAAAAATTCAAAAGCAAGTTTATTATTGAATTACAACTAATAAAATCAAAATACAATAATTTAATTTAACAGATAACAGATATTTAATAGCCTCCTCCTCCTCCTCCTCCTCCCTTAATTTAAACATGTAACATGTTTGTGTGTGCACTTTTGTACATGTAATAAGTAACTGATTTTTGACCCAAGAATATGTGGTATAGTTTATGACCAATCGTTTCGTTACACTCTGTATTTAGGTATATAGGAAAAACTATATAAACAATATATTAACATGAGATCATCATATTTAAAGTAATAATAAAGGGAATTTTGTCATCGGTTTTAGTTCATTAAATTATATCCATTACCCAAACCCCTGATGTAAGCAAAGTCTTAAATTCATTTCTAAAATCTGGATAAGAATCATAGCTTGATGACAAACTGAGTGTTCTGGCACATGTATGTGCAGTTGGTGTTCTACAAAAATCACTGGTACTTTCTATAAAATTAACTATAATTTGTTTGCCAGGTATCAACATGTTTGATCCTGTTACAAATCTTAACAAACATGACAAAATACTATGATCACTTTCTCTTATAAATTTTTAAGAAAATTGGATACCTTTAATTGCGCCTCTGTAAGACCATTTTCAAAAACTAGTGCCCGAATTACAGACTTATTAAGATTTTTATGAATTTCATAAATATTATCAAGTGTTTTTGAATTTATTATATTTTTTAATATAGGGTTCCACTGGTTAATAATAAAAGTTGACTTTTGGATCAACTCCTTATGTGCCAGATCTGTAATCAACTGTTTTATATTTTGTTCACTTGGTTTCTATTTGCATTCCAGATTGCCCAGACAATCCAATAAATCATCTAAATTAATGTTGGTGTAATTTTGAAGAGCAGTTTGTAGTACATTTGAATCCATTTCTGACACTTCATTAAATATACAAGCCTCCATAAAGCACTTTGAAAATTGGCATGGAAAATAATTTTCTTCCTTCCAACCTTTAGCAAATATTTTTGCAACAGCAGTCCATTTTGTCTCATTAAAATCATGTCTCAAGAAAGCGACTCTTGCTTGAGTACCTAATGTATATTTATTACAAAACTCTTGCCAAAATTCAGACAATATATCACGGATCACGGAATACACCACCAATATCCTCAGCTTTTTCAAGTTCTCCATTTGGTAGGTATACTTCTAGTTTTATAGAATTGCTTGTGTGTACTCGTATTGGAATAAACTGGTCAATTAAATCGTCAACTACATTTCCCCTATGAAGGATAATAGTAAACACATTATCTGTTGCAGCAATATTTTCACTAATGGCCCCAAAATTATCACCCTGACGTGATGATACTACTTCATTGGCATCATATCTTATTGAAAAACTTTCATAGTCTTCCCGATGTGCTCCGATAGAGTCTAAAACACTATCACCTTTTCCAAAAAAATGAAAATCATTATGCTTCTCGTCCTCAGAATTATATAATGTTTGAACTAAGTCCTCATCTAAATTAATCACTTCTATAGTATCTATATTTTTCAAAGATTCAAATTGGTTTGACAATATTTGTTTGTCCTTTCTCCTCGGTTCAGAATAAATCTACTGCTCATGGTATCTAGTCTTAAATGGAGTTTTATCAGCCTCATCATTATCAGATGAGCTTGAATCATCATTTAATTGAGAAACTGCCGTTTTCAGAGCTTCACTTTTTTGCCTTGTCCTCAGTTTTGTGATTGTGCTTGGTTTTTCTTCATCTTTTTTAATAGTTGTAATGTAAAATCTAAGGTTACTCATGTGTGTTAAATTAAACATCTCCTTTACAGTAAGATCATTATTTATCTCCTGGCATTTGAAATCACATAATACAAATGAGAACTCCGAAATGTGTCCTTTTTTAGCCATACCATCAATAAAAAATAATGTTTTTCCAATCTCCAATATGCCTTCAGGTTTTGTGTTTTTGTTGACTGAAACTTTTCGTGTTCCCCCTCATTGTTTGCTTCTAATTTGAACTAAGCGCCCATCTTGTGAATGCATCCAGCCTATATCAATTACCGTAGGAGGCTTTGTTCCTGCAAATTTTGTATTTGTTGACTTACATTCCATATTTTCATTCTGGTGTTTATTTGCTAATTTGGATCTAAGTTTATCTAACAAGCTCCCTTTTTTATTGAACTACGAACTTTGTCTTAATGAATTGGAGCAAAAGTCAAGGACAGCTAGACGATCACCAATTTTTGGTAAAAACTTTTCTAGGGTTTCAGGATCTAATAACTTTATTGTGTCCATTGAAATCTAAAACAAGTTGTTCTGCATTACTCATTGAGAAAAGTAAAAACAAATTAAACTCATACAAGAGATGTTAAAGTTACATTCATGCAAATACTTGTTCCTGTGTATTTTGCAATAAAGAAAATATAAACACATGATTCATTACCTTTTCGTTCTCCATCTGGTCAATCTTCATCTGGTCAATGTCTCGCATTTTTAAAAATTCCTTCAATCGGTCTTTCATCTTCTCTCAAGGCAGGAGTTCGTTTAAATCATGGATATGGAAGATGAACTAGCTTTTTTTCTTTTTCTGATGGATGATGGATGAAGGAGAAAAGCAAGGAAAGTTTGAATTGTTTGAATCTTAAATCGGTTTTCGGTTTATGTGTCTTTCCACCGGGATTCTATTAGGCATTCCAACGACCTGTCCAAATGGCTACCAGTGGGTAATGACAGTTTAGATATGTCAACCCTGTTGTCATGTTATCATTAACAGGGTCAATGGTACATATATAGTTATATAGATAGCTCAAAGCTGGTCGTTTACGAGCGGCCATATTGCCTGGCAAATATTTATTAATTTGAATCGGTTTAGCAAAAATGTGTTTTAAAACCAATTTTTAGCCTTTAAATATTTAAAAAAAAAGTAATTGCTTACATTTTTACTTCAAGGCATAAGCTTATGATTATTTTGAAAAATATGGATGATCAATCTATGCAACTATCTATTTCATTGACTTTGTCAAATCACCAGGCCTGCGGGGTTGCCATAATTTTGCCATATCATAACCCGTCAAAACCCACTGGTAGCCATTCAGTTTGGAATCCCTAATTTCTATTTAAATGTGACATATGACAAATGACCACAAAACACTTACCAAGGTGACAGGATGACAGGATAAATCCTTGTTTATGTTTTTTGACTTTTTTCTCAAAATTTTTACATTATTTTTCAAAATTTTGACATTATTTTCTCAAAATTTTGACTTTTTTTAAATATTTTTATAAGTGGCACGAATACGCCGTCGTAAGTATAAATGTCAAAACTTTCTATTTCTGCTGAACAAAATTTCTTAAGTTAAAAAAAAATATAAATCAATGAATTTAAAATACCCTCAAGTAATAAATATGTTATTGATAAATTATTTAACTAAAAAATAAACGAGCTATCAGACGGCCTATTGGAACATGTATAATCTTATTATTATGTTTTTAGGGTTTGAGTGGATCTTATACACATCTCATACTCATGGTTCAATATGAAGAAGGAATTCAACTCCTATGTTTTAATAAGACTATAATTTAAAAGTATTGTATAGTGTAATTAAATAAAAAAAATAAGTAGTTCAGAATTATATTATTTTAAAAAGATTCCTTAAAATTTCGTGAAAAACATAACTTTAAAATTGTAGAAAATACATAAATAAACTGTGTTATATTAAAAAAATGTTATTCGAATACAAAATAACATTTATTTGTGTTAAAAGCCATATAGGTGTTGCAAGAAATGAGAAAGTTAATCGACTGGTTAGAGATTCAATCCTTAATGGAATTTTTTTAAATACCGTTTCTTATATGGACGTACAATCAGTTTTAAGACAAAATATGATAAATTGCTGGAAAAACGAATGGACTGAAATTTGGTCCAATAATCTATCTATAGGTTCCCAACAGGGGCGATACTGCCCACAATGGATGCTGGAACTTTCTATGGGGTCGTTAATCAATCAACCCTATACCACAAAAAAAAGGTTTATAAAATATAGTTAATAAATATTTCAAATAAATCTTTTAGAAATATAAAAAAATGCTTTTAAAATACAGGGTGCCCAAATGAAAAGTAGCCCGTTTCCATTTGATAAAATTTGGTTACGGTGAATTTAAAAGAGGAGATTTTTAAAAAACACCCTGTATAGGTAATACATAATTTCTGTGTCACTGAAGCAAAACTTATAGCAAAATAACATATATCAGCAAAAACCGCACGTTTCTACGATTTGTTTAAAAGTTATAACCTCTGGAAATGGGCTACTTTTCATTGGGACACCCTGTATTTTGAAATATTGTGTGCCACCCTAGGGTACCTATTTAGTAAATCCTACTTACTAATATATAAAGGCGAAAGTTTGGATGGATGAATAGATATTTGTTACTCAATCACGCCAGTATCGATTTTTTTAAAGTAAAAACTTGAAAATTGGAATAATAGCTACTCATCACAAATAACTAATGACGTGTTTAAGGGTTTTCGGATTTTTATATTTAAAGGGGGAAGGGGGAATGGGAAAAGGGTGGAAGGGGGTGTATGGGTTATCGATTTTTTTTAAATTGGAATTGTAGCTACTCATCATAAATAAATAATTACGTATTTCAATGTTTTCGGATTTTTACATTTTAAGGAGGGTGAAATAAAGAGCCTCTCACTCTCACCCTCAATCTCACTCATAATGATTATACTAAAAAGGTTAATTACTTATTGTTATTGTAAAGTTTATTGTTATTTTTTGAGGTTTCTTTTTCTTGATATGATAAAAAGAAATACATGGTTCCAAAATTTGGAAATTCAACAAGTGACCACCTGAATAACTTTGTATGTTAATGAATATTTTTATTACAGACCTCAGGGGAGAAAAACATTAAAGAAGAATGCAATTTCTTTCAATTTCGATGAGAGAAGTAAACAGCAAGTGAAGTAGAGAAACTTAAGTTTTTTTCAAAAAGAATGTTTTGTTGACACTTTTTTTAACTAATTTAAGGTGATTACGGCACCCCTTATAATTTTCGGACAAGGATATCTCAAAAAGTAATTTTTTTAAAAAATTTAAATTTTGGAAAAATAACTTGGGAATAATATCTAAAATATGCATATTTTTTTAAAGTTTTAATTCCTTCCAGTTTCCGAAAAAAAAATCAAAGGGCTTTAAATTTTGAAATATCATGATAAAAATAAATGCATTCCTCAACAGCACTATTCTTAATATAATTCATGAATTTAAGCTCTTAAAGTCTTGTTAATGATTTTTTAAAATTCGCCAAAATTAGTGGTTAAAACGCCTCGTTAACGCCCATATGCACCGTTTTAAAATCTAATCCAGATTGGCAAATCTCGTTTAAGTGGCTAGTGATTATTTTCTATGCACCGGCTACGGATTAAATAATCGAGTTTAGCAATCTGACAACACTGGAATTTTATAAATTTCACAAAAAAGAGAAGAAGAAAACGTCAGATTTGAGTAGGAAAAATGTATGTCAAAGGATAAGAGGCCGTTGAAAATAGAAGCCCTATTTTTTAACGCCCATATGCACCGTTTTAAAATTTAATCCAGATTTGCAAATCTCGTTTAAATGACTAGTGGTTATTTTCTATGCACCGGCTACGGATTAGATAATCTAGTTTAGTAATCTGACAACACTGCATTTTTATAAATTTTACAAAAAACAGATGAAGAAAACTTCAGATTTTGGCAGGAGAAGTGTATGTCAAAGGATAAGAGGCCGTTGAAGATAGAAGCCTTATTTTTTTAAATGTACCAAACTCGTAAACACACCGTAAAACGCATACCGAATTTTACGCAAGGTGAAAAAGAATGTCAAATGAATTTAAAAAAATAATAATTCTATAGTTGGATGGCAAAACCAGTTCATTTTTGGTAATTTACATACAAAGTGCTGTATTTCAAGCTTTTCTATGCAAAATGATATACCTATATGAATACTTTCCTACACTGTGCATGTTCAAAACTATATGGATATGACATATCAGTATTTAAAAGTGGACAAAATCACATAATTTATTATATGTATTGCTTACTTATTTTTACCTTTTCCAATATATCTGGGTTTGCCATCTAACTACAGAATTATGATGTAACGTTAGAATGTAAAAAATCTCTCAAAAAGTTGCCCATCGTATAAACATATTCACTTCTCTCGTAATTTTGTCTAGAATCTTTGTCATCTTCCAAGAAAAGCTGGCATTCTATTTCTGTTTTTTATTAAAATTCAAATAAAATAAATAAAAGAAACGCAAATAGAAAGTTCTAAATATACTGACAAAACGTTGACATCTTTTTGACGTAAGAAAATCTCGATTAACAATTTGATCCTCCGATATTGACGGATGAGAATAAAATCGGATTAAGAATGATTTTTATTACGGTGCATAGCTAAAACTGGTACTAAACGTGATTAAACCCTTAATCTGGATTAAACGTGTACGGTGCATACGGGCGTTAATGTACCAAAACCGTAAACACACCGTAAAACGCATACCGAATTCTATGCAGGGTGGAAAAAAAAGTCAAATGATTTTATAAAAATAATTCTATAGTTAGATGGCGATTACCATTATGTTAATTTTTGGTAATTTTAACATATACATACAAGTTGCTGTATTTCAAGCTTTTTTATGCAAAACGATATACCTATGTGAATACTTTATTCCCTATACTGTGTATGTTCAAAACTAGATATGACATTATCATTATTTAAAAGTGGACAAAATCACAAATATATGTAGGGGAAGTCGGGGCAAAGTGGCATAGTTAAGGTTTGATTAATTATTAAAATAGTACCTATTGAATGATGAGTATATATTTAATATAGCTTTATTTGTTAATGTTTTTTCTATGTAAACCGACATCCAAAATGACTCCATCTTTTTTTTTCTCTAAGTTCTATTTGGTTTTTCAAAATGTGTATTATTTTTTACTTTGCCCCATAATAGGGGCAAAGTGAAATACTCGTTGGGGCAAAGTGAAATTATTATTTTTTGTACAAGAGAGCTGTAATAAACAATTGAACTCATATAGGCACAGAAGCATAATTCAGTTATGTTCAATTTGATTAGTAAAATAAGCCCTTTTCCATAAAATTAATATTTTATAAAAGTATCAATATGGACGTTTTCAAGTGCCAAAAAATATTTACAAAATTTCAGTTTATTCAATAATATATTATGATAATGTAGCAGACTACCCGTTAAGCGTATCTACAAATTTATATTCATCCACCATGTTTTAAATATAGAAAAAAATATTTGAAAAAACATACGGGGTAAAGTGAAACGTTGGGGTATAGTGAAAAGTGCTAAATTAATTTATTAAATACTAACTACCACCTTACCTACATAGTTTACACAATGTAGCTATTATAATAGCGGCGAATATTAATAAAATGTTTTATTGCATACAAAAATATTTATTTGCTATAGGACATAAAATAAACCAAATGCTAACAACAAAATATGTAACTCAAGAAAACGTAATTATTATAGAAAAAACTAAAAGACCTACAGACAAACAAAATATAACATAAAAAATAATCTGCAACTTGGTAGTGTCTCTACAAAAATTTGACGGTGTAGATTTGATCTTCATTTGATTCTAAGCTATCCGAAACTTTTAAAATTTGTCCGACAAAATCTTTTTTATTATTCGTATAAGTAAAGGAGCAACACGGGTTCGGCCTCATTCCCCATGTTAATTCCCATAAGAAATCGCTAAGGTTCATTCTGCACTTTTTTGTCCATATCAAGGTCATTCGTCTTGACGTCACGTGTCATGACGTCACTAGCCAACTGTTGCCAACCTAACCTAACCTTACTCGACCTTGGGGCCTTGTTGCCAGCCTGCTATATCTGCCGCTAGATGGAGTCACTTATTAATTAATTTATTATTCCGCAACTTACTATACATCATTATTCGATATCACAGCAACTCAACATACACCATTATTAATTTTATTTATTAAAGAAAAAAAGCTGATACCGCGGGGAATCGATCCATCGACCTAGAGATTACCAGTCGGCATCTTTATCGCTAGGCCACGTAGACTTTTAAGAAATTCTTACTTTATATTGTATACATAAAAAAAGAGATAACACTGGGTCGTGGTCGATAACGATATACTCGGTTTACTAAAAGATGGTAAAAGATATCGGACGTTATTATTGGTCTGATTCAAATAGTACAAACGGCACTAATATAAAGGAAGTGTGACGTAGATTACCGTTGAAAAGAAAAATCATGCGATTGCCAAAAAGGCATTAACATATCTCTGCTATTATTGGTTCAATTCAAACAGTAGAAACGGCACTATGAAGGAAACGTGACGTAAATTAACGTCAAACAGAAAAATCATGCGCAGAACGAAAAAGCCAGAATGGCCTTAGCATGTATCACGTGGTCCGATTCAAACGGGAAAAACGGAATTACGTATAGAACGATTAACGTTGAAGAGAAAAAACATGCCAGAAAGGCCTTAGCATGTATCACGTGGTCCGATTTAAGCGGGAAAAACGGCACT